TAAAGTCATGTGGTCAAGATTGGTGAGAGAGAAGGTGCAATTGATTTAACATTTTTGTAATTTTAGTTTACCTAGAATTTGTAAACGTTAAGAAATCGTAAATATTGCAAAGGATTTTTAAATCAATGTAATAAATTAATTCTGTCGCAATTTTACATACATCAACGTAATTATCTAAGGCATTAATATAAAAATACAGGAAGTGAAAATAAAGTATATATATAGAATCGTATACTTTGAGTTAACAATTATATAAATAACCCAAGAGCAATCATGTAAATTGTATTATTAAAAAAACATGTCAGGTTGAAAAAAGTTAGTATGACCATGTCCTATACGAGGGGGGATCAAAAAGTAGTGAGAACGACATACGAAACAGGTACGAAGACGATAACGAGGCGATGGATGCCATGGAGAGCTTTTTGCAGGACTAAGACAAAACTTTTTTTTTAATGGGATCCTTGGAAACGCACGGGACTTACTGTGTAGAGAGACTTGGAGACTATGTAGAAAAATAAATTATTAAGTTATCAACAGTTATTATATTCTATCTGATTCTCACTACTTCTTGATCTCCCTCGTAATTGCCAAAATTCAGCGAGATCCCTCATGACAATTTAAGGATACGTAATAACAAATATTCATCTATACATTCAAACTCGCATTTAATATATCAGTAAGACCTAGTTGTAATTATCAAATTAGAGACATTTTAAAGAAGGCGATATAGAAATAACACAACGACAATCATGACTGCATTGAAATGTTTCAATGATAAATGGTCGAATTCAATAGGAATAAGAAATTATATTTACTCTTTAACAGTGGTAAAGCCCCCTTTAACATCTTCGCACGAATTGGCCCGGCTCGCCCTGTGAAATACCACGACCACACAGAAGACAGGCGTGAAGTGGAAGCAATTCCGCGTTTCGTCTGATGAGTGTGCGACCCGGAGGCCTTACTTAGTCCTCGTTCCCTTCTCACCTTTTTTCTTATAAGGAAAGGATGGGAAGTGGAAGTAGACTTTCTGGATGAGAGGATGCATGGAAAGGGAATATATTTTCTTTCTGTGCATCATCTCCTCCGTCGATTAAAGGTAGGCATATGCAATTTCGTATGTCTATGGGCAACGGTCACTTCGCTATATCAGCGATTTCAGGTGGCGTTTCTCTCGTTTGCCACCTTATGATATTAAAAAAAAACCATTGAATTCGTCTATATGAAGCCAGAGGTATGCTAGGATCGCGCCGAATGGAAATCAAGAATCTCTTCCTACTCCACAAAGTTAAGGCCGTGAATGCTTTGTAATACAAGTACTAATAAATTCGCATAGTATTTCGATTTATTCGAAAAATAATAAAAAAAAATGTATAATAATAATTTAAATATTTAAAAACGCATTACATCTTCAAACATAACTACGAATTAAATGTCGGTGCTATGAACATAGGTTAACAAACGCGTAACCAAACGCGTTTGTCAATCGATTTTTATAAAACAACAGCTCGTTGGAAACCAACAACTAGCCGCTGCATAATTATCGAAAAAGCTCGACATTTTAACGTTTCCGAACGATTTGCGTGCGTGTGCTAGTCAAAATAAATAAAGCGAAATAGCGCATTGGTTCCACTTCGCTGGCTATCTCATTTGCGGTTCTCAGAGGAGTAGTGCCTATCTGCCTATATTTCCGAATTTTATGCCTACAACGAACGCGCCCCTTTGCGTGGCAATGTGTGAGTTTAGTTCCCGCTCGTCCGTGGTGCCATTTTACATCGACCGGTGCGTTAGCGGGCGTCGCTATGGAATCATTCCGTGTTTTATATACCGAGAGGTGAACGGGATGGGTCAGATTAAAATTGCCAGCGTTGTAGTATGAGTTAGAAGTTGAGCGATAGTACAGGGCTGTGCCACCCCCGGCGCGTCATCGCACTGACTATTGCGCGTGTGTTAGAGAATGAACATTTAAAATGCCCACCCCTTGACGATCACTATGCCGCCATTTTGTTTTTTTTTGTAATGATTTTTTGTCTATTTCAATTACTGTATTATTTATGAAATGTAAACAATTAAACTATAATTATAAGTTTCGTAAAAACTGAGATGGATGGAGATGATGATGATGATTTTTAATATAATGAAAACAATGTCCACAATTATTTATAAAGTCATTTTCTTTTTTATGATTCCAAATAATTATTTGAAAATTGTTATCTTTTTACCTATTAAGATTATTTCATTTCATGTTTTTATGTTTTTCTTATAATTATAAAATAATAGCAATGCCTAACACTCTTTTTTTTTAAATTCCTTACTGCATGAAAAGTCTGACCACATTTTTTGTTTGTTCTAAAATCATTCTTCTTCATCCGTAACTATTCAAGTCGCATTACTCTCCACCAATCCTCCGCAAGCAACGGTTGAAATCTTGAGATTTTTGAATAAATCCTAACATGATTCAATCCTTTTTTTAAATACTCGTTGAATTCAAAATTTACAAGTCTGTAGTTCTTAGTAATTTTAATATTTATTTTAAACTAGCGGTTGCCCGAGACTCTTCCGCGTGGAAATAAAAAAATATATTTAGTAGCCTATGTGTTATTCTAGACTATGTTCTATATGTATGCAAAATTTTATCCAGATCCGTTTGGCCGTTCTGGAGATACCTTCAAACAAATACCCATCCATCCATCCATCCATCCATCTTAACATTCGTATTTGGAATATTAGTAAGATTAAGTAAGATGTATTTTCGGTTTAAAATGTATTAGACTAAGAAAAAAATTTGTACGTTTAGTAGAAAAAGTAATGTTTATCAAAGATAATAAAGACTGGCCACCAGACCAGTGGAGGATAAAAAAAATGATTTAGTTCATCAATAAAATCCTATCTTTTAAAAAGCATCATAACAAAAAAATACAAACCCAAATCGCTCTCCGGGTAAAATCCAATTTGCTAACAAATTGCCAACTTCATCACCAATCACGTTATCACCATATCACTAAATTTCTATAAGAAGCACTATACATCTTCCAGTCGTAAGAGTCGGAACCATATTGAAAAAGGAACGATTTTAAAATGTTAATACGTGATCTGTGAGGGCAACGGTCACTTGCGTTTCTCACATAAATTTGTATTTATTAACATTTACTTTTTATAAACGTGAGATAAAGAGGGGTCATCTCAGGTGAAGGGTCGCGCAGAATCCAACCGGTTCATTCAGTCCAATGATGTCTTAGCCGATATACTATTTAATTTATGAAATTCCTTAAAAAATATGAAGAGCCATAGGACTGTTTTTTATTCTTGAGTACTTAGAAAGTAATGGAACTGTTAGAATGTTTTTTTTTTCAAAACAAAATGTCGTTGTAATTTCTTTGTCTTTATCATGAAAAAAAACTAAAATTACATACGCTACCATAACTTTACGTAGTGGAAGTTACTACGAGATTCTGATCAATTTATTTTATATGAGTTCAATATAGTATACCTTTATAATGTGTCAATGAGTTCCAAAGATGTATTATAGCGCCACCCGTACTGATAGTGGGATACTCGATAAATCAATTCAAATCGATGGAAGTGTAATGTTTAACAGAAAGCATCAACAGATGTCGCTGAAATTAATTTCTTAGGAATTCAAAGTTTAAAAATCAGACCCGTCAGTTTATCATTTTTTCTCTTATCTTAAAAAAAATTAAAAACATTTCAAAGCCAGTAGCACCGTATAATAAGTTCAGATACGATCATAGGCAACTGAACCATCATCAGCTCACTATAAATCCACATTGAGGAGCTCGAAGTTTACCCTTAGGAGTGACTAGACATAATCAACTGTGCTGGCCCACTGTGGTTTGGTTGACACACATATCTTTGAATTATTTGCAGATATGTGCATAACGAGGATTTCTTTTATCGTAAGAACGAGGGATAAAGATAAATATATGGAAATGGAATATGGAAAAACACATTGGTACATGGGATTCGAACCCAGGAACTGTTGATTACAATGCTTAACCCCTAAACCACCGACATACCGTCTAATGGTGTGTGCGGACGGTTGGAAATCGATGGATATTGAAAGCCACGGTTTCACCAATGATACACCGAAACTATAGCTGTGAGAATGGCTGTGAAAACATTAGATAAGGCTTATTTATTACCAGCAATGGCCGGTTGCATGCTCATTAGTAGTGTAATAATAATCATAGAAATTACTTTTCTTTGTTTTCTTAATGCTTATGTAATATTATCATTTATATAAGAGACAGAATTAAGTATTTCGATGAGCAGAATGAGACCGAACTAATAGAGATGGTAACTTACATGTTATAGGAAACATATGTTGCGCACGCCTAGACGCATAGTTGTTATAAAAGGCTTCGAGTAATACATTCTTTGAAGCGTAGACATAACATGACCAATTATTTTATGACTAAAAACGGTACATTGGTTTATTTGGAGTTATTCAAATATAGTCAATGAAACATACAACTTTTTTCAAGTTCTTTCTTCAAATAAAATCACTAAGCTTAAGTAAGAGATAATACAAAACATATAGCCGAAACTTTTAGTTATATTTATATTTATATTTATCAGTGAACCAACTTTGCTTTAAGCTGGTGATGATTTTAAATAAGAATGAAACTTTGGGCATATTTTTTTTATTTTCACCTTGATTACCAACGTCGCCTGCATTGAAATGAACTGGGATTTCTCATATCATATGGGTTGACCGAGGATGTGGTCTCGCTGCTACATAGCGAGCACGACTGGCAAGCATTCCAGCTGTATGCAAAAAATGTTATAAACATGAAAGAAGGAGAGGCTGATCCAGCCTCCGCCCCTCTCCGTCAAAGGAGAACAGTTCGACGCCGGCGTGTGTATCACCGCCAGGCGTAGGCTTTGTATACATTGAAGATGTTATATTTACAAATGTTATATTTGTATTTTATATTTAATATTTCATATTTTTATGACTATTTGTGAATATAGACTGTAAGGCGTAGTGTTATATTATATTTATTTTATTTTATACACACACATATAATAATTTTAAGGAGATTATTTATTATTAATTTATTATATATTCACTTTACATTTTATTGTTATTGTTTTATTTAATAGATAATAAATAAAAGGAGCGCTGTGCAAGCAGCAGCACAGGTCGAAATCCTGGTTAAGGCTTAGCTGATACAGGATGAGACCAATGTGTAAGGAGGGCCCGAGGGGTTTTTGTGGGTATCGCCGAACGACTTTAGGCGAGTCCCACACTCCCTGCGCCTCTGTACAATTCAGACCCGGCGCAGGGGTGCGTAACTGCATTTCCCCTCGTACAAAAAAAAAGGATATGGTATCGCTCATCAATCGCTTCGGTCGACTCGACTGCTTAATTTTTCGCGCGGGTTAAAAAACGAGACAATTTGGCGTTCCAGAATTCTGTTCGGGGACACCGGGAGTAGTTACTTTAAAACGGGACAGCCCCGTTCAAAACGGAACGTCTGGTCACGTTACGTATACACCATAATTGATATTTCCATTTCCATAAATACTATAAGTGCAAATAACATATACATGCCAACGATTTTTCGATATGGAATTAGCATTGTTAGGAAGAAAATCCGAAAATGTGCCATTGTATTGATTTGACGTTTATTCAATATTCATTCTGAAGTCATAATATCTGAAGATGCTTATATGAAACGTACTTTAGTAACAATTTTTTCTGCTAAATCATAACAAACTTGAAAGAATAAATAAAACAAAATTTTCAAATGCTCATATACATATATATTACTGATTTCCATAAAGAATGTGTCCAATTTTATTTAATACAAAACTACTAATAACAAGTAGGGCATGGTCTGCCACGGCGACCAATCTTGACTACAAACTGCTTACGAGTAAGGCGACAAGGTCTACGAATTACTGAACGTCCTCTTCCGATTACTCCTCCACTGGACGAGCTGGTTGAAGTTGACGATGCACTTGAGCGTCCTTCGTTGATAATAATCAATGGAGACGGAGCCCCTTGGAAAGTGTAAGGCGCGTAAGCTTCACCCACGCCGAGTCCTCCAAAACCGTTGGAGGCGGCAACGTTGTTGCCATATCCATAGAGTCCCGATCCGCTTCCAGAGCTACCGGATCCAGAGGCTGACGATGCAGAAGAAGTGGCTGCTGAGCTAGATGCTGATGATCCCGATCCGCCTTCGTTGATCACCACGGTCTGACCACCGTAACCATTGTCTTCAGTTATTGCAGAACCGTAAGCTGCTGCTTCTGATGCTGCTACTGAGGCTGCGGCGGCTGTTGCTGCACTACCGTCACCCACGCCGTATCCTCCGAAACCGCCGGAGGCGTCACCGTTGTTGCCGTATTCATAGAGTCCCGATCCGCTACCAGAGCTTCCGGATCCAGAGGCTGACGATGCAGAAGAAGAGGCTGCTGAGCTAGATGCTGATGATCCCGATCCGCCTTCGTTGATCACAATCGTCTGATCACCGTAACCATTTTCTTCATTTAATGCAGAACTGTAAGCTGCTGCTAAGGCTGCGGCGGCTGCTGCTGCACTACCATCACCCACGCCCAATCCTCCGAAACCATTGGAGGCGGCACCGTTGTTGCCGTATCCATAGAGTGCCGGTCCGCTTCCAGAGCTTCCGGATCCAGAGGCTGACGATGCAGAAGAAGAGGCTGCTGAGCTAGATGCAGATGATCCTGATCCACCACCGTTTATCACCACGTTCTGACCACCGTTTCTATTTTGTCCAGAACGACCAGCTGCTGCTGAGGCAGCTGCGGCGGCTGCAGCGGCTGCTGCTGCACTACCGTCACTCAAGCGGTTTCCACCGCGACCGTTGGAGGCGGCACCGTTGTTGCCGTATCCATAGAATCCCGGTCCGCTTCCAGAGCTTCCGG